AACGGGAGGGTTCTTAACATTGAGACATTCATCCACATCTGAATCGCTACCTGTTTGGTCAATAAGGTTGCGACGGCTGGATTCACCGAACTGATTGGACAGAGCCCGAATTTGTTGATCATGCTTTTCCCTCATCCGTAGCATAGCCATTTCCATTTTTAATCTTGAATGCCTCTTTCTGCTTGGTTAGAGCATCCTCGAGAATTTTTGCGATTTGCTCGGTGTTGATCATGAACACTTCGCGGGATTGTCCCGGACTGGATACTATATTATCAGAAGCGATTGTCGAGTTAGCATCCGATGCTTCATCATCCAAGGATAACCCTCTCTGCATTCTCTGGTAGTTCCTGCGTCTAGTGGTCCCTGCGCGTAGCCGAGTCAGACGATGCGATACGAGAGGGTCAGAACTAGAAGTTCGAATCGACTTTCCCTTATGAGCCATGTTAATTATGACTTCTGGAAGTTCGTCACCATGAACAGCCAATCGCTTCTTACGGAGACGCTTTGGTTTGGACTTAGTCGCTCCGTTAGAGAGCCTCTTAAATACCGAGACCCTCTGCGGAGCGGTCTTGGGGTAGCTACACGCTGATAATACTACCCTTATAAGTCTGACGCACGGGCAATGAGATTCTGTTTCTCGGGTACTTCTCTTTCGAGATCTATTCGTACCCCCAGCCCGATAGTACAACTCATTGGTCTGAAGATCGGAGCAACCTATCGTGTGTTGGCATGACTCATCAGGTATAACATCATCGTCTGACGAATACGTTTCCTTCTGAGGACTCGATGCCTTGTTGGCGTCCTCAAGAGTCACGCGTTTAGAACCGCACTTTTGGGAGCGCGAACTCTTGACGGGCTCTTGGACTTCAATCCGTCGTCCGAGGCAGTCAAGTGCAGGTGTTTTCCCATTATAGGAAAGCTCTAACTTGTTGCGAGGATGTGTGTGACCCCTAGCTCGAGTGGTTGCTCGGGGTTCAGTCACCGGACCCAAGTGTTCTTTGATCGGAACTTTGCCTCGATCCTCGTGCAAAGGACCCAGGCGATCTATCATCCTCGTCTTGAAACGGAACAAGTCTCCGTGGTCGTGAGGCTTCACCGGAAGTGCGGAATTAATCGGGATAGAAACAGGGGCGGTCGGAGGCTTAAACGGGATTGCGGGAGATGAACCGGGTGCAAACCAAACCGAACCATGTGCGGACCGAACCGAATCGGGTGCGAAGCTTGGGCCAAGCCACCATTTGGTGGCTCGGTTTTGGCCGAGCCACCAGGTGGTGGTTCGCGCATTCTGGCAGTTCCGGGCGCTGTTTGACTTTTTGTCGATGCCGTTTCGGACTTTGGTTTCCAGACTTGGCGTGGTTTTGGTGGCTTCTTGATAACCTCTTTTTGCTTCAACTTCTGTGCTTCTTGTACGAGAATCCGTGTGTGCGCAATCAATGCGCGGCACTTCTGAATGCGCTCTTCGAGGGTTGAACGGGTCCATTTGACTTGGATCCACTCATTCGCTATTGGTTTGGTGGAGAGGCCATTCATTTGCTACTGGGGCACTCGATGCCTTCTGCATTTCAGAGGCGTTGGCGCTACCATTGGCGAGCTCTTTTCGATAAAGTTAGCGCGCCTTTGGTACTCAACTCCTTGATTGAGGAGGAGTTCAGATCTGTAAGTCCGACTTCATTGGAGACCGGAAGTGCATTGCAAGGTCCAACTACTACAGCAACAGGGACGTTGATCTTTCTGCGCTTGCGAAGGACGGAGGATCTGGAGGAGGAGGATGACAGATACTCCTCGAACTTCAGTTGGTCGAATTCGTACTCGACCTCTTCATCAACCGTGATCCGGATCCGTGGTTACGACACTACAGCTTCGGCAGCAAAGCTGTTGGCTCCCACTGTAGTCACCAGCTTGTTTGGGTCAAAAATCACTGTTTTTATTATGATTGAATCTATTACAACTTTAATCGTTTACAATAAACTCAAATAAGAAGTTGATCTTTTTATAAGATCTCCTTATACAATGAAAATACAAAAGATACGACTCTTGTCAAACAGCACAACAGACGTTTATCACCTGCTGCTTGCGTGAGAACTTTGCCTGTGCCGAGGACGTTAATATCCGTGGACCGCCGCAGATCAGATCCGGTTGACAGATTGATGATCAAAGCTCTTACTTCACGAAGGAAGTAATCGCTACAGCGATGATCTCGACCAAGCGAGATCACGGATCTTCTCGAGATTTAAGACTAAGCTTAAATCCGGAGGAATAGGGGACGGGTCTCGAATCTCTCGAACTCCACTCTTTATGCACAGGAGATCGCGAAGATCCGCTAACCCTTGCTGTAAATTCATGGCTCCACTCTCCAATTCGGTAGCGTTTCGCCCTCTTGATGTCCAGCCTGGAGAAATGAGCACCCGAGCTCGTATTTATAAGCTTCGGGAGCGGGTATTTGGATAAGAACGAGGGATCCCTCCTTATCTTCAGTTGAGAACTGAATAACCACAGTATCAGATCAGTTGGGACGCTCAGGAACAAACAAATCCTAAGAAAAACCGTCAAAACCAAAAAATCACACTTTTAGATCAAATCTGGCCGAAGCGTCACCCGGTGGCTCGGCCTTGGGCCGAGCCACTGGCCCGACCGGATCGTTTTGACGTGATCCGGCCGCCAGAGGCTTTCTTGGTTTTCTCGGGTTTGACTCGTTTCGTCGTTTATGTGTATTTCATTGTTTCGCCGACCGGTATGCTTCCTCAATTCGCTTTACGCATTTCATAAACACGCGGATCGCTTGATGGTGGGCGATGAGCACGCGGGCCACCTGGCGTTGGTCGTTCTGGTGGTTCGTCGCCACGTCATCAACGTTTCACCGATTCGCTTCATGCGTTTGTTGGTGTTAGATAATTCTCTTTGATTTAGATAACAGCGTTCATCACCTTCTCTCTGTCTCGAACTGTGTGTGGATACCTATAAGTATTTTTAGACGCCTACAGACTCGAACCAGAAAATATAGTTTGACTAGGAAAATAGTCTTTGATTTGTTTATAACTTTCTCATCCGACCTCGGAATGAGGTGATTTAAGATTTTTTTTTCCGAAAGCTGTTGAAGAGACCTATAACTTTTGTGTTTTAATTTTTTCTAGATTCCAACTGAATAGGTGTGTAAAATACGTATACTCTTAACTGGTCATTTTTCCGGATTTCTTCTTCGTGCATGTTTTGTGCATTTGCACTCATATATTCATATATATACGTTGAATTAATCTCTAATCAATTCTTAGCATACTCAAACAAATAAAAGTTTTTTATCACCATATAACTTATTTATTACTGTTTATCATAATATATTCAAATTTACGGGGTTTTACACCCAACATATATCCAGATCTTCAAGGCAAAGACAACTCCTGCCAACTTCAGATTATGAGTGCTGTAATTCCTGTTGTGATGCAGTAGCTATTGCAAGGTATATGCAATCACTTTGCCATTCTGCCTCAATACACATCGTATTCCCTTGCCGGATGCATAATTCAGAATGGCAAAACCTCCTGATCCTTCTCGTATGGCTAGTAGATAGGTGGTAGTCAATCTCTTCTTTAGCTTTTTGATAGACTGCAGGCACTCTTTGGTCAACCAACTTCTCTTATTTCCAAGTCAACTTAGTTATGGGACCAATGATTCCGAAAGAATACTTAGCGAACCTTTGGTAATATCCAACAATTTAGGTTGAAATAACTATACTAATTTAACATGATATTTTGATACAAAAGGTAAAAATTTACTCATTTTCACAAAATGTTATATGAAGTTGACCTACTTCGACCAAGA